AGGGTATATAAGAAAGAGGGAAGACGAGTGGAAAATCGAGGGGGAAAAAGAAATATTTCTTGGGTCATGAAACTTTTCCCAAATGATAAAATTCAATTTATTATTTCAATATACGTTATTGATTAATCAATAACAAGCATATAGTATCTGTTGATCGTGAGTAGAAGGATGGCTTCTGCGACACTGATAAATTAGTCCAATCCCTTCAAAACATCCAATTTATGTTCATCATTGTATTACAATGTCATGACATGAAAAATGTGCAAAAATAACGAAATGATTTCTTTAAAATGTATGTAAAGACAGAAAAGAATGTGCAACAAGTGGATGAACATTGTAATCACATTATAACTACAAAATAGGTCATTATTTTTGCTCCGTTCGTTTCTTTTACGTAGATACAAGTTTGTATGAAAACGAAAACAATGCACATATGAATGATATAAGAGAGATTAAAAATAGAATAGTTTGAATTTTACTTCATTACACATAAATGTTTGCTTGCTCGCAGACATTGTTGAGGTTCATTTACTCTTCGCATTCTGCTTTGTTTAAAATTACAAATTGAGGAAGTTTATTTGATAAAACTTTTTATTTTTAAATAAATTTTACAATCTATCTCGATGTTTTTCAAGGGGATTTTATTATTATGTGATGATGAATTGTCAGTTTTTTTGTTGCTTTTCAATTATTAGCTTAATGTCAGGGCTATAAGTAGTTGTAGTTGTAAGAGTGGATTTCAATGCATGTTGGTGAACGGAAGTTTCGTCAAGATAACAAAATTGTGGGAAAAAAATCTCCAAAATTACAGTGAATTTATTTAATCTATACAATTTAAATTTGATACAAAACTGAATCTAATGTAAGTTAATTTAGTCAGGATTTGCCAATGGTCTGTTTCAAACCTAGTTTAAGAGTTTATACTGGGATTCAAACCATTCTTTTGATAACATTTTACACTGTACCCTAAAAAGGTTATGGGCTACTTTAACAGTTCATATGATTCGTGTGCCTAATTTCATATCCCTAGACTCGAACACATGATCTTTGTGTCTATATTGCAACAATTAGGTCCTGAACTACTAGGCCAATAAAAAAGTGGGAACATGCTCATCCAATCACACAACCACGAAAATTAAGCATAAAATCTGCAATCAATCGCACATTTTCACTTAATCATGTGAATTTTTAATCACATAATCACCAAGATCCCCTCCAATTTACATCAGCAAATCAGTTTCCATCAACATTGTCCCCTCTAGCCCTGCGTCATGGTAAATTTATCTGATTCCAAGTCAGTAGGTTACTGCCGCTCAATTTATGTTCATTTTAAATTGCATTGTAAATACTAATTGGAATCACTTCCACAATAATCGTAAATATACGCTCGTTGTTTCATGTAAAGACCATTTGAAAAGATTGATTCATGAAAAAAATAAACATTGCAATTGTCTGAGGATTAATGGATTGCGGAACATGTCAAAATATTTATGTTCATGATGTAAGTAAGAGTTTCGTGTGTAGAACATTCTCAAAAATTGTTGCGTGAGCGTTTTTAATTTGACTTATGAGATTACGAACGGTATGATTGGTGTTGAGAGAATAATTTTCAGATTTCCCGTGATTTAAATAAATTTAATGTACTAAAAATTGTTTAATTTTAAAAGTCATTAAGGATGTTATGGAAAGTAATTGTTGGTGGAATGAATAATGCGCTTTTTTTGGAATAAGACATCCTTATGGGATGTAGGATCGAGTTTGGACACAAATTGTCTATATTTCAAATTCTAGGCCACACGTCAAATGTAATTGACTCCATAGAAAAATAAAGCAGACTCAGATTAAAATCACATAAATCGCCACAAACAAGCAGTTTGATGACTCTTCACAATTTGTCAACCTCGAAAAGAACTTGACTCAGTTTCTTAACCTTTTAGAAGTAAATTTATATTTTGTCACTCGCGACATTTCACAAAACACCACGTGATACTGATCCTACGTTACTTTAAAGGCTCCGAGTGGCTACAAAAGTTTCACAAGAAAAGACCAGTGGCAAAACTCGTGACGAGACATTGTAGGATGCAGTTCAAATCGCCACAGCATCACCATATGCCACACGACATCTGTTTGTTCTATAAAACAATGCGCTAAAGGTTTGTTGCTCCGATCCGTGTGAAATTTGGCAGAATTAATTTTTTTCGTGTGGAACAGATCTCACAGACTGCAATTACTTAACTGGTGGATTTTATTTCAGGCTATTATCTCTATTTACATTTCCAGACATCACAACAAAAGTCCAAAGATTTATAATAGGAAGAAAAATAAATATCAACTTAGTCGCTGAGTTTTCATGACTTAATGAATTATGAAGAGAAAAATATACATTTGAAATGTGTTTACACATCTGATTTATAATTAATGATGAATGGAATCGTTGAAAATTTAAATTTAAATTTCTGTCCACAAGATTTAAAACGTTTCATTAAAAGTCTTCTCCTTTTTCATGTTTTATGCATCTTAAGAAATTAAAAGTCGCATTTATGGTAACGAAAGACATCAACAGACAAGTTACAGTGGTGTAGTAAGGAGGTTGTGGTTTTTAGATTTATATTTATAGGCTAGTCTGTCAGTGCAATAATATTGCGTCTTTGGTCGATAGGTTTCTCTGTTAAACTTCTTCTAGAACGTGGGTTCGATTCTTAGTCAACGCCTTTGGTGCAATCGGTTAAGAAATATAGAATCTAGCACCAACATTTTGGTTTCAAAAATAGACTCAGCTAGTGTAAATTTGGAACCTTTTCTCATTTGGGGGGAGGATCGTCTTCCAGCTAGGAAAATTTTCTGACTACAAACCTAGCTACAACGCTGCAGACAATCCAAACATGCGACATTGAAAGCCTAAGTTTGAAGCGTTACTAATTTGTTGAATCTTTTGTCATGCAATCATTTATTGAAGTCATTCAAATAATTTCTGACATAAAGTCATTCATTATCTTACATTTTCGGATACAATGTCTTACGAAAAATTTGTATTATTTTTTTTTGCATTTACAATAAAAACCTGATCATCGCTGGCTTAAAAGGCATGCTTCGTATGAATAATATAAAAATTATCATCAATTTATTATCGAGAAGTTCACGAAACAAAATTTTTTATTACGAAAAAATAAAAGCAATTAAATCTAATTGATTGCGACTTGCTGACCGTTACTTGCAAGTTTGGTGCATAAACTTTTTTTACGCAATGATTACAGTCTCGACACAAAAATATCCTAAAGCGTTCTCTTCTTCTTTAACTCGTTTCTTCTGTTATAGTAACAAAAAGATCTCTCATAAGCTTTACACACTTTATTCCACGAACATGTTTCCACAGATATTTTTTTTGAACAGATTTTATCATATATAAAAATTGTGCAGTAATGAAGGAGGTTAAAAATCAGGTTTTCACATTTTGTACGAAAAAATTAACGAGTAAAGTGAATAATCGACAAAATTGAATGACGTTGGCGCAATTAGGCTATAATTTTTGTACGATCATACATGCTGAGATTTTTGTGCAATGTCATCTAATTAGTAATGCATATGGCCTAGTGTATGGTTGTATTCTTAAGTACAAAGGCATACCAAGTTATCTTTATAAAGAATTAATGATTTTAGGTCCTTTTTAAGATCGAACTTTGGAATCTTACAAATATTGAAGCTATGAAATCCATAGGATTCAAGATTTTATTACAAAACTTGATCATATCACACTGTGTGGCTAAGAGTTCAACCAAATAATCATCTTTTTGTATTCCATTGACGTTCCTTAGGGTTATTAGTGTCTTTTTTAAGGACAGATTAAACTCAGTTTTAATTTTGAAAAAAGTTTCTTGATGATCACATATTAAATCATTGTCAACTCGACAATCAAGTTTGACACCTGTATGAACATCATTTTAATGTTTGTTGGCCGATTTCACTTGATTTTAAGTACAAATAAGCTAATACGCGCTATATATAAATGTAATCCATAATATCATTTATTAGCTTGTCATTTTCAGAGATTCAGGACTATTCAGGACTTATTTCTCATTAAGCTAAAATTGCATATCACAATTTATCGGCCCTATTTCAAAATAAGGTCAATGATCCCAAGTAATTGAAAATTATTATTGATAACTAGCACTATAAAGATAAGGATTACCAACCGTGCAAGAGATAAGAGATATTTTTAGAAGACCTACATTGCCATACATGGCATGTGCTTAAAATCGAAAATTATTCGTGATTATTAAATTTTGTATAAACATTTTTGCAAATCTTTCGACAAGCTTTAAAGATCCAAGGAATTCCATTCAAATGTGCCGCAAATAAGAAGAAGATTAATTGAAACAAAAAAAAATAATCAGGAAACTGGCAAATACCAGAGATTCTTTGAAATATTTTCGAAATAAAATCACACCGGGTATTTTTAGCTCTAGATAAGCTATTGCATAGACTTTAAATTCACTCGTATTGTGAAATTACAAAGTAACTTCCTCCGATTCCGTTGAAACTTTTAACAATAAAATTTTATAGTCATATTTAAAAGACGTAAAAAAAGAATGACAAAATGCACATAAAAGTTTGACTTTATCGCTATAAAATGCACGTAAAAGTAATCGACAAATGATCACCTTATGGTAGGAAAAAAATAAACAGAATCAACACGTGTAATAAAGGCAAGAAACTTTGTTGTTTGAATTTGTAAAGTAAGTGGCATGAAAGGGTCATTGACAAGTGACATACGTTAATTATGAGATTTTTTGACCCCTTTTCCCACAGTATTTTTTGTTTATAATTTCAAATTCTTGTTATTGCACGTCATTTTTGAACAACCCCCCTAACCAGCACAGCACTCAAAAATAATTTCAAAATCCAATTATTCGACACTTAACTGTGAGAAAATGATTTATGGAAATAGCAATAATACCATGACGTAATGACAAAAGCAAAGTATTATTAATTATGATACTCACATGCACTATGCGACCTTCTTCCGATTGGATGTTTTCCTATCGTTGCAGGCATAACCCACTGATTTGTCCTCAAATCCAGGTAGACAATTTTTGGGCAGTAAATTTCCTCTTGCGAGTGATAAGGTGAATGTACATCACCTCGTCCACCATAAATATACATTCGATCATTTATCACAGTTGCTGTGTGAAAGTCTCTATATGATGGAGGTGTTCCTAATGTATGTATAAAATGCCATTGCATCGTTTTAAGGTTAAGACAGTGAACATCACATGAGAATTGATCAATTGCTTCCTCAAAGCCACCAAATATATACATATAATGATCCTTTATACACGCTGAATGACCATCTCGAGCACCTGGGAGATTCCCACTCACTGACGGCGTTGACCATTCATTCGTTCTTGTATCATAACAAAATAAAATATCACAAACCTGTGAAAGTTTTTTTTTGACATTGTTTAATTAACATTGCAAAAAATTATTTATTATGTAATGATTATTTACCATTTCATCGTTCCTGCCGCCGAATATGTACACTTTATTTTCATATGCAACCGCTGTATGCCCTATAAAATTCAGAGCCAAAAGAGAGAAAGAAGAAAATAAATGTCTATGAAATGAAATTGAAAGTTTTTTTTTACGTTCGTATTAAATCATTTAATTTTATGAATTTTTTATAAGGCATAGATGCCTGCCTGCTTGATTTTGGCACAAATAAATTATGTAATTAATTTAATTCACTTACCGTATCTTTGGAAAGGAACCTGTGGATATTTCTGATCTTTCATAGGCATCAATGACCATCTCAATGTGTTTGTATTTAATACATGAATATCAATCGGTCGACTTACTCGATAATTTTCAAAGCTACAATAACCTCCGAACGAATAAATGAACTCGCCGATGGAAACAGATGCATGATTTACTCGACGAGGGCCTGTTGAAAAAAGGCAGATGAATACGAATTAATCACCAGGGAAGGCGAAGAAAAGAGGTATCATCACAATCATGTCTATTAATAGAATTGGAAGTTCCGCGACAGTAATGGCACAAAATTTTAAAATTCACATTAAAAAAAACCGGAAAAAAGTTTCATCACATTTTCAATAATCCACGAGTATTGATCATATCCGTACATCAGTCCAATTGCCAAATTATGGGAGAATTATAAATGAATGAGAAGAGAGACGAGAAACGAAACCAAAAAATCTTAAGCAGCCGGACTTGAAGGTCGAACTTTGATCAATACTTAAACCAGTTTCTATTTTGTTTTTGGCGAGAAAATACAGTTTATGATAGAGGAATTACGTTTTGCACAATATACAAGTGATATTGAATTCTCAGTTGATGTCAATTAACACATTTTTCAGTGATAAAAATACATTCAACCTCATGTTGTTCATATTTTCATTTTCACTTAGCACTTTCAATAGTAACTCATTCGCACACATTTGTTTTGTTGTTGTTGTTGTTGTCTTTTTTTTTCTCATGAAAAAATTCTTTTCTTCTTTTCACAATTGCGTTGTCGCTATTTTTCACTTCCACTTAATTCCATTTATTGACTAGCCTTAATTGTGAATTTTTTTTTATTTACTCTTACCTCCTTCAAGTGCCACTATCCAATGCATTTTTATCTTTTTACTAAACTTTTGTTTATTTATTCTTTAATTCTAGATTCAGCGAATACCACAGAAACATTAAGTTCCTACGTAAATCATGTAAATTTCATTTATTTATCCATTTATTAAAAAAAAACTAAAATAAAAATTTTTTGACTAAAAGAGACGATGTTTTTACTGCGAGAGATCTTTTCAAAATGTTCACGAAAAAAATAAATAAATAAACTCTAGAGTATGAGCAATGCTGAGCAATTAAGAGTGGGGAAGTTTGCTGACTTTTATTTATCTTTCTCCTTAACTACTTTGTTGCCTTTGAATGACTCACTGACGTTTCTTTATGACTATTTTGTGATTACTAGTTGAAACTTACTAGTTTTTTGGTTATAGTCGCTAAATATTGTGCATAAACTTTATTTTTGGTTATAAAGTAGAGAATCTGAAAATGTAGTTTCCAAAGCATGAAAATTACAAAATAATCATGGCAGTTATTTAATTTTTAAGCAGTTTGATCAGTTTTAACGAGATAGTTTTACATTGAGCTGATTTTTTGCAGATCAATAATAGCTATTTTGAAGGGTTGGTACGACAGCAGATTAAAGATAAATTTTAATTTTACAATTTATTTATCATTACTCAATATTGTATTCTCAATAACATGCTTTGTCAAAAACTAATCTAATTGAATTGTTCTTAAAAATTTAAAGCTGTTTTGGAAATTTCACAAATTTTGTTGATTTTATTTTCTCATTAGCCTAACACACAGTATATTTGGTATTACATCCTGAAAAAAATTAAACTTTGTTATCAATTCATTCAAAATAAAGGTTTGTGTAACTTACCAGGTCCTGGCAATAACGCACTGATTTGGGGAGCTGAAACAACTGCACTAATGATGCATAACATCACAATTATTGTAATCAAAACTTTTGAATACATTTCAATGAATTATAATTTATTACTAGATTTTTTAATCTAATTCAAGCTGTTTTTATAGAGAAATTGGTAAACTGTAGTTAATTGGAAATTTTCATGCCTGTTTCAATAAGGTTAAGTTCGAATATTGTGACAAACTGGCCGATATTAATGTTTTTTTCAAATGAATTTTAAATTTCTGTCATAATGAGTTTCAATGAAAATCTGTGAAAATCTATTAACGTCTTTAGAATTAACATCAAAATAAACTTTCATTTAAAATTCTTTATTAGCTCTACATAATATCTAAACAATCCATTAGAGTGGAAATTTAATGTTCGGACATTCCTTAACGTATAAAACTGACCAAAAAACTTCAATTATTACAACTTAAAAGAATTTATAACAAACTGAGGAAAATCAATTTTAACGGAATACATTTTTGTGCAATCAAAAGTAAGTGAATTAATTTCAAAGTAAAGTGCAAAAAAGTCCGAAGATGTGAATCCGAATAAATGTGTGAAAAATTTCCAAATTAATACTCAAAATTTCAATCTATAGTAAGAATTTTAAAGCACCTTAACCGACCTTGCTTCTTAATTATCAACAACACCAATCTGATAATTAAATAGAGATCGCTCATAAACAAACAATTCTATCAGAGAAATGACACTGATTTCATAGAATTGTGAGTCAAATGAGAGAAAATTTCTTTCCGCTCAACAAATAAATTGATTAATCTATATCAAAGCTCCACACAAATGTAGAATATTCAATCAAAAAACTTTTCTTTATCAAGTCCGATACTTGCTTTCGAATAGAATTTATTTGCATCTAGAGCTATAAAGATGTGGATCGTGTACATTGCATTGTTTATACTTTTTATTTTCATTCTCGATCAGTTCCTTGTTGACAAAAGGAACATTGAACTTTCGAAGCAATTTAATGGACCCGTGAGGCTTCCTTTGATTGGGACTATTTACAAGTTTTTAGGCACATCAACTAAAGGTATGAAAGCTTTATTTACTAGTGACTATTCAACTTTGAACCTTTGAACCTTAGATCATTGTGAAATCACACTTCAAATAAAAATTCAAAAGTAAATTCGTAAGATTCTTGATTGCGTTGTCCATAATCCATTCATGATAAGATTACAGCAAAAGGTTCCAAGCAAAAAAAGCTGCGTGTTGGTCTTGTTATCTTCTCTTATTTAATCGTTCATAAATGACGTCTCTAAATAAATAATTTCTTATGTTCAAAGCTTTCCTTCTCTCTTGACGTCTTTCATGAACGACCTGCTAACTGCTTGCTTTTATCATTCATATCAGAGTACTACTCGGCCATCAAAAAATTGACAGATATGTATGCTAGAACAAATAGCAAAGTTGTATGTGGATGGGCTGGATTTGCCATGGAAATTTTTGTCGATGACTATAAATTGATTGAAGCTATAACAACAAATCCAAAATGCATTGCAAAAAGCTCACAGTATAGCTTTTTACATGCTGCAGTCGGTGAGGGATTGCTGTTTAGCTCTGGAAAGAAATGGTTCAATAGACGAAGGATCATCACGCCGACCTTCCATTTTAAGATTCTTGAGCAGTTCTTTGAAGTTTTTGTGAAGCAAAATAAGAACTTGATCGAGAAAATCAAAAGTCAGTCAAATGAGCAGCCGTTTAATATTTTTCCAGTCATAACTTCATCAGTTTTAAATTCACTGATCGAGACTGCGATGGGATATGAAATGAAAGCTAAAGATTCTGAATACTTAAATGCTGTTAAGGAAGTTGGATTTCTTGTAGCTACAAGATTTTTAACTCCATGGCTTAGACTTAACTGTATCTTTAACTTGACAAGTCTCAAACGTAAACAAGATAAATGCGCGAATATTATGAAGGAGTTTACCACAAACATAATTCAGGAACGGAGAAAAATCTTGATGGAGAAAAAGGATGAAGATTTAGATCATTTGGATGATGAAGATATTGGTTTAAAGAAGAAAATGTGCTTACTTGATGTTCTGCTCCAGTCAACAATTGATAATAAGCCATTAAGTAATGAAGACATTCAGGAAGAAGTTGACACATTTACATTTGCAGGACATGACACAACAACAAATGCTATCTGTTTCACACTCTACATGATCGCCAAACACCCAGAAGTTCAGGAGAAGTTGAACAAGGAGATACAAGAAGTGCTTGGAGATGAAGAATTGACATTCAAAAGCTTAAATGAATTTAAATATCTTGAACTGGTGGTTAAAGAAACATTGAGGTTATATCCACCAGCACCGATCATCTCAAGACGATTTTTTGAAGAAGTTGATATTGGTGATTTTGTAGCACCAGGAAATGCAAATTACAATTTAATCCTTTTTACAGCTTTCCGTAACCCAGAAGTATTTAAAAATCCAGATGAATTCATTCCAGAGAGATTTCTGAAGGATATGCCTGCTTTTGCATTCATTCCATTTAGTGCTGTAAGTTAGGGCTCTTAAAATTAAAAATAATGTTTTAATTGGCTTAAAAAATCAATTTGCAGGGTCAACGAAACTGTATTGTAAGTATTTACTTTAAAATTGATCTTGCAAACTCACAGAAATATCTCTTAGGGTCAAAAGTTCGCGATGACAAGCATCAAGACTAATATCATTAACATTTTGAGACAATTCACAGTCGTTCCAGGTAACAAAGAACCAGAAGTTGAGATCAACATAACTCTCAAGTGTGAATCACTTCTAGTTGGTTTTAAGACTAAGTAAAGAAGTAGACATTGTGTCTAGACACGACCGGCGAAATGAGTTTGTTTGTAAACAAAGTCATGAATGAATTTAAAAAGCTTATGTTGAGAGAAATAAAATGAAATTTTTACTTGACGAGAGCTATTTTCTCTTATTTTACATTCTGCTCAGAGTATGCAACTTGTTTATCATCAACACACTCGTATTTATTGCTGGTTGTTACTGTATTCGAAAAATATGAGCATTGATTACACAAACCTCTAATTGTCAAGATGTGGCTCGTTTACGTTGGACTATTTATTTTATTCATATTCTTACTTGATTACTTTCTGATTGACAAGAGGAAGCTGGAGCTTTCTAAGCAATTCAATGGACCACTGAGGCTTCCACTTATTGGAACTATTTACATCTTCTTTGGAGCATCCACAAAAGGTGAGTTCACTATCTGATCTTCAGTTTTGTAAAATTTCACTCTAGATGTTATCAAGTGAAATGCAGCTTTAATACATTCTGAGGTATTAAGTTAAAGTTCCTTATCTTCTAAGAAAGTTAGATACAAACGATTTAAACTTTATTACTAAGCCCTAGCATTCAGCTTATCTTCTCTTCTATTAATAAATCAAAATAAAAACGTTTTTGAATGCGCGGTTCAAAATCCATTTGTGATAAGAATTTTCATTTTCAAGAATTGCATGTTAAAACTGCGAATTCTTATCACTTGAAGTACCTGTGGGAACTTACACAATATGTTTCCTTTGGTGCGACCTTTAGAATTGATGTTTGAATGCTCTTGATTTGCTCTAGCTTTTAAAACATTGTTTCCAATAGTTTACTTTCCAGTGACTCTTAGAAACTAAGAATTTAGTATTCAAAAATGATCAGCAAATCACTAATGGTCAGAAAACGCTAATCAATGAAATGATTCTAATTCAAACCTAAACTCTTAATTTCAGATTATTACAAGCTTGTCAAAGACAGTATGGACCAATTTGGCAAAACAGGTAACAAAATAGTGCGTTCATGGAATGGACCATCATTAGAATTAAAGATTGACGACTATAAACTTCTTGAAGCAATTACAACGAATCAAAATTTCTCAGCAAAAAGCTCACAATATAGTTTTATGCATGCTGCAGTCGGCGAAGGACTATTATTCAGTTCTGGAAAGAAGTGGTTTAATAGACGAAGGATCATCACACCAACCTTCCATTTTAAGATTCTCGAGCAGTTTTTTGAAATTTTTGTAAACCAAAATAAGAATTTGATGGAAACGATTAGAAGTGAACCAAATGGAAAACCTTTTAACATCTTTCCAGTCATAACTTCCTCAATTCTAAGCTCATTGTGTGAAACGGCAATGGGATATGAAATGAAAGCTAAAGATTCTGATTATCTTAATGCTGTCAAGCAACTTGGAAAGATTGTAGCTACAAGATTTGTCACGCCTTGGAAAAAAAGTCAGTTCCTTTTCAGTTTCACTAATGCTAGTAAGATTCAGGAAAGATATGCAAAAATAATGCGAGAATTTACAACTAAATTGATTGAGGAACGAAGAAAGGTTTTGTTAAATAAGGCTGAAGACTTAGAGCATTTGGATGACGAAGATGTTGGTTTAAAGAAGAAAATGTGCTTACTTGATGTTCTGCTCCAGTCAACAATTGATAATAAGCCATTGAGTAATGAAGATATTCAGGAAGAAGTTGACACATTTACATTTGCAGGGCATGATACAACAACAAATGCGATTTGCTTCACACTTTACATGATCGCTAAGCATCCGGAAGTACAAGAGAAACTAAATAAAGAGATCCAAGAAGTACTTGGAGATGAAGAATTGACATTCAAAAGCTTAAATGAATTTAAATACCTTGAGTTGGTGATTAAAGAAAGTTTGAGGTTATATCCACCAGCACCGATCATCGCAAGACGTCTCTTTGAAGAAGTGGACTTTGGTGATTTTATAGCACCAGCAAATACAAATTACAACTTGATCTTTTTCAGTGCCTTCCGTAATCCTGAAGTTTTTGACAAGCCAGACGAGTTTGTTCCTGAGAGATTTTTGAAGGATATGCCAGCCTTTGCATTTATTCCATTTAGTGCTGTAAGTTCGATACCACTGGTACAGAACTGATCGATTGTTCAGTTCTGCACCTGAACAATATAAATTTAAACATACTAACTTCAAATTTGATATTTTCTAGGGTCAACGAAATTGCATAGTAAGTTCTATACTTAATTAATCTTTTAATAAGTTTTATTGAAGTCTACTCTCTTTTTTAAGGGTCAAAAGTTCGCCATGACAAGTATCAAGACCAATATTGTGAATATTTTGAGACAATTCACTGTCATTCCAGGTGATAAAGAACCAGAAGTTGAGATTAACCTCACCCTCAAGTGTGACTCACTTCTTGTTGGTTTTAAAAGCAAATGAAATAGAACTAAACTGAATAAAATGTTGTTGTCAATTTATTCTTGACTTTGAGTATCTTGAAAGACTCCCTCCTGCTTCAAATTTTGGATGTTATTTATGAATTGGCATCTTACAGTTCGATTGTCTCTGTTTAACGTCAGAGTATCCTCTTGTTCTTGTATGCATATCAAGATTTATTGGATTTTAAAAATTTTATCGGAAATTTTAAAATTCTTTAAAGCCATAAAAATGGAATTCCGTTACAAATGCAAAAGCCCTCAAAACTGCTCAAAACGTGCAAATCGAGTCGCAAATTCTAGACAGAGTAAATTCCATATAACGAGCTCAATTTGAAAATTGCCACAATCTGTTATTATCTCCTTTCTATCATACATCATTCAGGCTTCACATTCAGTTGCATATTGACTGTCGTGGACGCAAGTTTAAAAATAAAAGTTAATAAATTTAGTGTGATTTAAGTGAATTGTGGACGTTTTAATTTGTTTTAATTAAAGAATAAAGACAATGAATTTGTCAAGAATCTGGAAGTTATTTCTACTGACTTTCGTGACATTTTCTGCATTCGTTCGAGTCGATTCTCGTCCATTTATGATGAATATAGGTGAGATTGGATATAAATGTCTCGATAATTCAGATTACATAAATAATAATCATAGGTCAAGCAATAAGTGGAACATTTTATGGATTGTGGAAATTGATTGACAACACTCCACCTCCGTACCAAAATCAAACAATGAAAAGAGCACCGGCATTCGCATCAAAGTATGGAAAAGCCATTGACGGAAACAAGCAAGACATAAAGTCACACTGAAACAGTCACGTTGGTCTGTACATACGATATCAAATAATATTGGCTTAATTTAAGTGTAATTTACTTCTAATATTAAATTTATGTTTATTAAATAAAATACGAAGATCAGAAAATTACTGTCACGCGCATAAATAAATCAGATCAGAACATTTGCCATGCTGATTTTAACTAGTTCAGCATCATTTCGTGCGAAGCTGCATCATTGAATTGTCATTGAGTTCGGAAGGGATTTTCAATCAATTATAAAAGTCCAGAGTGATTTCATGAATTATCACATTCTGTTTAGCTCTTGTGAAGTTTATAATCTTAAATAGACACAAATTTGCTGAAAAAGACACATTTTGAAATAACGGTTTAAAACTATTTGAAAATTAACAACCAAAAACCATTTGAAAATATGCTGACAGAATAGAACTTTTTAAATTTTTAACGGTTTTTTTGTATTTGAAAAGAATCATCAAAGATTACATACTTCACAAGAACAATGACTAAATCTATTCACTTAGCTTTCTCTAGAATCACACTTAGCGACATCGGCATCCATTGCGACGATTTTCCAGGATCAGGACTAACACAGCAAACTGATTTATCGAAATAGCAAAATAATTTCCCAAGTCTATAAACTTGCTTTCCATTCTCTCGTCGTCCAGGCATTGGTGCGAAGATAATTCCTCGTTCTGCACACTTTTGTGAGACAATTTCCTTAAATTCTAAATTAATTGTTGACGGTGGCTTAATATTAAGTTCCATTAATGACGGCAATGGTTGTACAGTTACTGGTTCTTGAACATATTTGCCAGTTGCACGCTTCATCAAGTCAAGAGCTCGTCTCAAATGTTCATTAATGTTTGGCTGCTTTAGAAGAGCTTCACTAAATTGACTCTGCCAGTCTTTATACCATCGCGAGATTTCATCATAATTAGGTGACTGATTAAGCCACAGAACGAGAGTTTGTATCCATTTTGGAAAGAAATATTTGTCTAAGATGTTTGTCATGACTTGAGTTGTTAAAAGTTCATTCCAGTCGTAGACTTGCTTAAAAACTTCCAAATCTTGTTGACGTGGATCGATTATAATTTCATTCATACGAAACTCCAATTTTGGAACCACATTCTTATGTAAAAATATCTGCAAGTCTTCATCCTTAAATACATTCTTCCAGGGTCTTATCATAGCTAGTGCTGATCGATCTTGTGGATGCCAAGCACGAAAAGCTTTACTTAATTTATCACAAATTGTTTTGTAGACATTTTCATGCATTTTTTCACCTAATATTCCAGACCAAGGAAGTATCCATTCATGAATTGGTACTATATCCGTTAATGGATCCCATTCATTGACTGCTTGTGTCAAACGACTTAAAACGATTAATTCAAGGACATTATCAAGTAATCTTTCAGGCATAAGCGCTGACCATGCATCGAGCAACGCTGCCATTTGTGAATGATTCTTTGGATTCCATTCGTTTGCAGCTTGTCGGAAGTAAGGAACAATACATGACCAAACGAGTGCTTCATATGGATCGAAAAATGTTGTTGCTGATGACTTTGAGTAATCTAATAGACCTGCCCACTTTCTTATTATTTTTAAATGTTTGGTCGGTTCCTCTAATGGCTTCCAGTCTTTAATACTGGCATTAATAAGTGGCGCTATGACAGTCGGTGCCAAATCAGGTAAATTAAACTCTTTAAATTCATTTGGAAATGTCACTTTTAATTCTATGAATATTGTTTCAGCTTCTTCGAGACTTGGTGGATTTTCTGTGTCTACAATCTTTGCAACAAGCTCCTCGACATCCTCTAATGTCTCAATATACTGTTTCTCAAGTACTACAATCTTCTCAAGCTGTTCTTTTTCAGTTTTAATAGTTCTTTGTCTATCATCAGCTGTTCTATGTCTTTTATCATTAGCTATAATGTCCTGCTCACACATGTTGACTATTAATGTTAAATTATGCATAAGTTCGGGCAATTGGAAGTATTTAAGGTCTGGCTGTTTGGTTTCTATTAAATGATCATCGTCTGCGACTTTCATTTGATTTAATGCATGATATCCACTTAATACTCGCTTTTCAGGTCCTGTCATGTCAATTACTGTTACTTTACTCAATTTATTGCCACTATCGTACAACATGTAGTCTGGCTTCTTTCCTTTTTCAATCACATCCTCAACACTTTTGTAGAAATAACGTTTTTTGTGTCCTTTCTTGGACCACTGTTTCTCAGCCTTACCTTCTTTTCTTTCATCATCCTGCTTCTTTGTTGGCTTAAGTTCTGCAATCTTTGTCTTCTTTTCAGGTCCATAAGCTCCAATTGCACCACGTCCTTTTCTTACATGAGCTTCAACAGGTGCTGAAATACCTTGCAACTCCTTTCCTAAACCTTTTCCAGGCTGAAAACCCATTTGAAGTAACAATTTAGCACCAATGCCTCTCGTGTGCTGTTCCCAATTTCCTAATCCTTTATTGGACATTGAGCCTTTGGTTTGTCGCATGCCAGCAACTTCCTTTGGCTGAAATGTTGGACGAACTTCCTCTTCTGATGAGTCACTGGATTCTTTCTTGATTTGATTAAATCCAAATCCACGATGTGCTGTATCTTCATCCTCATCGTCGTCGCTTTTCTTCTTTTTTGGATCTTTCAGTTCTTCCTTTTTCTTCCCAGACTGCTGTACACCACCAGAAACAAAACTTACAGGTGCTGTATAGTCTTTAAAGTTCTTACGACCCCCTTTTGATCCCTTCATTTCCAGTTCCGTTGCATCATCGTCGCTGTCTGCCCAAACGCCTGGAAATTCCATTAATTTTGTTAAACGTTTTCTGTAAAATTTAATAATTTTATATTGCTTACCATAAATTTGCTGATTCTTTGTGAATTTCTTTCTGTTCCTGTTTGGATTGAACTCATTGTCAAGATCGTAGTCTGTTATTTCGAACTTCTCGTACTCTTCTTCCATTTTAATTAAGTTTATTGTAAAATCAAATATTTGCGAATTTTTGATTTGTTTACTAGGGCGTGAAACTATGAAAGTTTTTAAAAACTATTCCAACGGTTTTCAAAATTTCAAATTTTTGAGCTATTTTTCAAAATAATAATGAGTAACGTTCGCAATAAATTTAAATCTTGTAAATTCATAAAAACAACCAAAATTTAAGTTGTCGCACGTTTTAAATTGAAATATAGTGAAATTAATTAATTGAAAGGTTTAACATAATGGTACAGGTAATAATAGCATAAATAGTAAACAAATAACCTCGTGCAATGTGGATTATGATGTTAAAAGTGTGGAAAACTCTCTTAATAATGAAAAATCATTTAAAATTTAATTAAATCATCCTAAATTGTGCATAAACATGCCGAATAGAACGTCCTTGTTTGAAAACAATTTGATCTATAGCTGTCAATTAGCTAATTAAAATGATGTGGGATGTACTTTAATGAAAAATGATTAATTGAGAGAGATCCAGTAAATATGCTCAATAATGTCAATTATTTAAATGATGATTCGCTCAAAAATTGGTAAAATAAATCAATAAATAAATGCGGAATAACGAATCGAATATATCATGCCACTGTTTGCTATCCTGCATCCTCATTTTTCCCTCCCTCTTAATTTTCACGTATGGGAAAGTCTGCGAGGAAATTGAATGCTGTGTTGTGTTCTCTGGATTATGAGGCGTGTGGTATCCTATTAAGTGTGCTGTTTGATATGGATTAGTGCATGTTATTGCTGTAGTTTTGAGTAAATGGATCTTTATTGTTTACTGGAAGTAGCACTTTGAAATTGGATTGAAATTTGTATTGAACTTGCTCTAATCTCAAGTATAGAACCAGTAAATTAAGATCCAGCAGCAAAATTTTCCAAAAAAACAAGATCCAGCAATGAAAAATGGTTCTAAAAAGATCCAGTTAAAACACTCAAACACTGCATCGATTTATAGACTTGCCCATATCTGTGTACGCTCAATGAATGCAGTACAGCAATATGCGATCAAAATTTTCTTCCCACTTCATCTCCACCGTGAAAATTTCATATATGCAAGCGGATTGTCGATATATATGCATATATATTTTTCATACAGTGGCAAGGTGGTCCAAATAACTATTTAATTGCGAAAAAAAAGCAGCAGCAGATTATATATATATGCACACAGATATTCTGTCGCGCGAGAACATGTTTTCCATATTATTTATTATTCATCTCAGCATTGCACATGAAATAAAATCGGCACAAAAACAATGCTATGCTGGATATATAGCATAATATATGCAAATAATTAAAATGAAATTAATATTTTAAAGTAGGAATGAGTTGACATTTTTTTTTGTGTGTCTCATTTGTAGGCATCTGATGACGATTACGGCGGTGGAAATACACAGAAGCCAGATCTTCCACAAGCATTACGCTTAATTGATGAAATGAATAATAATGTTAAGCAAGTGTCTGATGTTGTTGGCAATATGCTGCAACGTGTCAAAACGGGTGAATTATCGACAGAATTCGGTCTAAGCTTCCTTGAAGTCAAATATCATATGCTACTCAATTATCTCATCAATCTAACTTATGTTGTTTTAAGAAAATGTTCAGGTATGATGAATTGGCTTTATACGTGCTTTTTGCACGTTTTTTTAATATGATGGAGCTACTTGAAGATGATATTGATCTGTTGATAGATGCGTTTATCAAGAATGAATCTATTTTTGGGACATTCTTGGAAATTAGAAGTGACATGTGATCTGTTGAAATTTTGAATTATATCGGTTTTTAAAAATTTTAATTTTAACGGTTTTCAAAGTTAAACCGGTATTATTTTAAATTTATAAACCCCGCTTAAATTTAGATTTTTGAAAACAGTTAAAATTTAAATTCTTAAAAACCGCTATAATTCAAAACTTCTTAAATTCAATTTGTGATTCCCAAATAAATTGATAACTTATCACACCATCAAATAGCTTCAATAAGAAAATAAAAATCAACCGGCACTGAATTGAAATCAACTTTTTCTCAATTTCCTTTTAGGACAACGAATCGAAAAAGATCCATCAATTGATCGCCTGATAGAGATTCGAACGATATTAGAAAAGATTCGTCCAATTGATCATAAACTTCGTTACCAGATTGATAAATTAGTAAAGACAGCCATTACAGGAACAACAAATGCCAATGACCCACTCAAATTCAAAGCCAATCCAAGCAATTTAATGTCACAATTTGATGATAGTGATGACAATGACTCATCATCAATGTCAGAGAATGATGAATCGAATGAAATGAGAAAGAAAAGGAACAAAAGGCGAGAAATGGACGATGACGGAGATGAAAAGGAAGTTGGAAAATACGTACCACCAAAAATAACATCAATGCCTTACGACGACGATGAAAGTACAGCACAAAAGCAACGTGAACGTGCTCGAAAGCGTGCCATTAATTCAGCATTAATTGATGAATGGAAAGAAGAATTCCTTGACACGCCAGTCGAAATTCATGGCTCATCAAGAGCACAACAAATGGTATCAAGAGAAATGAAGGAACGTGAACGTTACGAGGAAGAGAATTTAGTAAGATTGCCAATGACGAGAATTGAAAGACATCGACAAAAAAGATTAAGTACAATGGGATCATTAGGAGATGAACTTACAGGTTTTAGTGGATCATTAAGCAGTAAAAATAGTCGGAAGCGAAAGGGCGGAAGCGGTGCTGGTGGAAAGAAGAAGAAAATGGGAAAAAGAAGAAAAATTCATTAAAATAATGAAGAGAAGAAAAGTTTTTCATTCATTTTAACTTCCTATCTCCTATTTTAGCGCATTCTTGAAAAACTTGTTTCTGAAAGGTTGCTTAATAATTCACTTTGTTCGGTTGGTATTAAAAACTTTTTAACCAGACATCGTAAAGAGCTCGGGTTTGTTTTATTCGCTTCGTTTCTGTCAATTTATCGATGAATTTATGAGAAACGTGAAATGACAAATTCATAAGGATTAAACAGTCAAAGCGTCAAAAATGCGCTAAAGTTCCTCGATCAATAACACGAGGACTTTTATACTTTCTTTTCCTAATTAAATTGAATTAAAATTACACAAAAAACTTTGAGACGTGAAAATTTTCTTCCTTTAATTAATTTCATTATGCTTTACATAAATTTTTATCATTTTTTTCTCTCATTGTTCAAGTTTTATATTTTTATTTGAGAGGATTTGCATGAGCTGTTGTGCTCTCGATAGTTTTTCCGTTTCTATTGACTTTACTTACACTTTTATGTTCATAAATAATGCAATGATTGCATTTGTTATCACAGAGTTAATATTATGAAGTTTTTTTTTATTATATTTTATGCTTTATGAACTATTTGGACAACTAAAATTTGAATTAGTTAAAAGTCCAAAAATTGAACCAAAACCAAACAGCAGTTTGTGAATTGAAATTTTTAAAAATAAGTTAATTATTATTTGAAATCTTAGAACCATACAAAAGTTTAATTTTCAAAGAAAATAATTAAAACAGTAAAGTATATGTACAATTTGTGTATAACAAAGTCAGCGATACTCACCACTATAATACCGAGGATAAATATAAAAATTTGCAGGAGCTTACACAGCCATTGCTTACAAAATACAGCGTCATACTGAATGCGCTATTATAGTCTCAACTTCCCTTGTTTGTCATAAAAGTTTGATTCAAAGCATTTTTATGTCAGACTGCAAGACATTTTTTCTCGCTATTGAATTTCAAAAGCGTTCCTTGTTTAATTTAACTTTTATTTGTTTTTTTTTTTATTGTTGTTAATCTCTTCATAATGATGACAAAGTAGAACACGAGAAAAGTTTCTCATAATACATTTAATTGAAGCGTTTTTAGAAATTTTTATAACATCATGAAACACTTTTTTTTCTACTTTGGCTACCACTCTCAAAGTTTCTTACAATTATGCAGGTCGTGTAGAATGATTATGTAAGAAGAATGCAAAATTAATAATTTTAATGAGCTCAAAATTAAAGAAATTATAAAAATAAAAGAATGGATAAAAATTATGAAAAAAGTTTTTGAAATTTTGATTAAAATTTTATTGGTTCAAGTGGTTGATGGTCAAACTACTTAAGAGGCAGCTTAGTAGAATAGAAGCTTTTTCCATTGGATATCACTCACGCCGATGTCTCCACAGCCATGAGCTAGACAGCATTGATGACTTCGCTTGTCCCTTAAACAGCCTCTGCATGTAGGATTCAGTCTCAAATGTCATCATTTGAGATCTATTGAAGACTAAGCAAGAAAATGCACCTCCAAAAGTGCATTCACTCCTAGTAACCATCCAAACAAGTTTCCATGACAACCTTCAATGCATTTTATTGTAAACATTTTAACTGTCAAACTTAATGTTTTTGTTCGATTCTGTACATTAATTTATTAAATTACAAGACAATGGAAGATCAAAAACCTCACGACTTAGTTCCAAAAGTTGTGGATCTGCCGGTCATTCAAATATTTGGATTTGATGGTAAGAAGGCGATTAAATTTGAATTTACAAAGGAAATGATAACAATATTGAAATTTAGGAACCATACCACTGAAGATACATCCAGATCAAGAACATCTGATTTTTGCTATTGGCAATAAAATTTCAATCCTTCATCTGACCACAAATAAGCAGACATTCCTATCAGGACATACTCATAATATATCTGCTTTAGAAGTTTCTCCATCTGGAAGGCTTATTGCATCAGGACAGGTAGATTAATATCTTATCTGGTCTATCCTTATGTCCTTAATACTTATTTGCATTCCAAGATCAATCACATGGGATTTCGAGCTCATCTATTTGTTTGGGATTGGAAAAATCGATGTGAAATCTTACGACATGAGCTACATAAAGTTCGAGTCCAAGACTTGTGCTTCTCAGCTGATGAAGATCATGTGATAAGTCTTGGTGGGAAAGATTGTGGCATGATTATCGTTTGGAACATCAATAAAAAGTTAGTTGATTTATTTATTCCTGGAAAATATTGAAGTTGCTGATTTTGTTTCTGTATAGCATCGCTGTTTGTGGACAAATGGCTGCAAGAGAGACAACAGGAGAAGCTATTTTCATCAATGGACTGCATTCTAGAAGTAGAATTTTTATATCTGGTGGAAATCGTAAGTTGAGATAAAGGGCCGTTCACTTATTACGTTCGCATTTTATTGGGGAGGGGGGTTTGAAAAATTGTAACAAAATGTAACATAGGGGGGGGGGGGGTGTTCAAGAAGTATGTAACGTTCTAACTGTAAAAAATTATCAAAATAAAATAAATTATGAACGTTCAGGGGGGGGGGGGGGGGTTGTGAGTTGTAACATATTGTAACAAGAGGAGAAGGGGGGTGAAAAAAGTCGTTATTTTGCGTAACGTAATAAGTGAACGGCCCCTAAGAGATTTTATGTCTTAAATTAGAATTTTGATCTTAAATCCAAACTCTGACTACGTTACAACCTTTTTTCCTCCCAAATGATTGACGTCATAAGTTATTGACCCATAAAGCGTTTTCAAATTATTCCAAAAATCCTAAACTTACCCTTTTTCCCAGAAAATCTCCGTCTTTGGAAGTTAAACTCAACGACACGTCGAATTGCTGCTCAAGACGTAGCTTTGGGGAAATTAAGACGAGAATTTACTTGCATGAAGGTGGAATCAAGAGATGAATTGATGTATGTGGGTACGAAATCAGGTGATGTTGTAAAAGTAAATTTGAACTGTAACGACGACACAATTGAGTCAGTTGATAAAATTCCAACACTCTTGGGATGCTATGCACGTCACAATCCAGCAAAACCACACGGAAAAGACTGTGAGAAGTTTGAAAATGGAGTTAGAGACTTGATTATCCTTCCTTCGGGACAGTTGATAATTGGAGCAGGTGACGGAAGTGTTGAGATTGTTGAAGAAAGAAACTGCAAGTTTAAGGACTATCCATCACCGACGTGGCCTAATTTCAAAGTTTTACGACGAGTTAAAATAGCAGGCGTTATATCTTCATTGCAGTCACTGAACAATGAAACATTGATAATTGGAACTGAAAATTGTGAAATTTATTCTATTCCTTTACAGACATTCGATAAGAATAAGATGAGATTACTCAAGACATGTCACACGCATGCTATTAATGATATAGCATTTCCACACGAATTTCCGTCATGCTTTGCTACTGCAAGTCATGAATCTATAAGGATATGGTCAAGCATTAAAAAGCAAGAACTTTTACGAATCATTGTACCCAATTTTACATCCAAGTCTGTAACTTTTTCATATGATGGTAAGTCAATTGCTTCTGCATGGAATGACGGCGTTATACGAGCATTTACACCTTTGACTGGAAAGTTAATCTATGCCATACCAAATGCACATAACAAAGGATGCACTGCTGTAGCATTAACAAGATCAGGCAGGATGCTAGTAAGTGGCGGTGTCGAAGGTCAAGTTAGAGTTTGGAAAATTGAACCTGAAAAGCAGTCACTTCTTGGCGTTTTGAAGGAACATTTTGGTCCTATTTCGTCTGTTGAGATTAATAAGTTTGATACTGAAGTCATAAGTGCATCGTCTGATGGATCTTGCATTATTTGGGACTTGTTGAGGTTGTCGCGTAAGCATGTCTTGTTTGCAAATACTCAGTTCACAGCAGCTAGGTATTACCCAACTAGTGTCCAAATATTAACATCGGGAACTGATAGAACAATCAGCTATTGGGAAGTTTATGATGGATCCTTGGTAAGGGAAAAAGAAGGAAGTAAATTTGGTCCAATAAACTGTTTAGATCTGAATACAGTTGGAGAATATTTTGTGTCAGCAGGAAGTGATTGCATTGTGAAGCTATGGAACTATGAATTGGGTGAAATTGTTGCACAAGGAATTGGACACGCTGGATGTATCACAGCATGTAAATATTCACCTGATGGGAAGTTTTTGGTTACTGGAAGTTTAGATGGAGCTATTTTCATGTGGAAGATTCCAGAGCAGTTCCATCACAGCTCATTGGTAAAAAGTGAGAGTAATTTAAGAAAGTCAAATACAAGCATTCATTTAAAGCAACCAGAACAAATCAGACAAATCACTAGCAAGCGCTCCACCAATAGATTTTCATCACATGTTGCAGAATGCCCACCAATTGATAGTCACGATAATCATTTTGATACAGCAAGTGTTTCTGGTGAAAGTACAATTTCGACAAGAAAGAAAGTATGAAAGTTACCTGACATTTCAGCAATTCATTGCTGTCCATCGATTCCATTACATCCTTCAAGTCCATCAGATGCTCCTGTGAATGTTCATTTTTGTAAGAGGTTACAGAATCGGAAGTGAATTAGAATAGCTAAGTGTAGGATATATTAAGACATTTTGTGGAATTTTATAGATAGGAAATGAAATTGGGCTTCCTAAGTTTAGGTTCCTTTTAGTCAGGGGCGTAGCCAGAAAATTTTTAGGGGGGGGGGGGGGGCATTTTCGAAAAAACCGTTATTTTGTATACTTAAATCTATATTCATTCTTCATAAGTTTAAATATTTAATTCATTATTCATACATTAAATTTAATTTTTCGTGCTGATTTTGACATTTCTTTCATCACTTCCTCTACATTAACTGGTTCTTCTCTATAAATACTTAATAAAACAATTATCAGATTTTCGTAGGGGGGCCAGGGCCCCCTATGGCCCCCCTGGCTACTCCCCTACTTTTAGTCTTTTATAGATTGTATCAATTTTGGGGTCGTTTACAAATGACGTCTAAGATTTTGGATAGGGGTTTGAGAATTTGCAACACTTGTATAAAATTGACACAGCGTCAGATCCACTACAACTCAAAACTTGGACATCATTTATGAACTAGTTCTTTCAACATATTAACATTTTATAAACAAAACTTCAAATATTATTATAAGTGCCTACCTTAAAAATATGAATAAAAAATTTATCATCCGTCTATTTCGACCTACTAACGCTAAATTTTCCATATTTCTTCCTCCCCACATCTATTTCCAATATTTTTTGTTAACAATCTCATTTTAATTTTGCAGCTGCTTTCCATCTAATTCAATACTTTTTTTGTAATATTGATTTATAGCTCACGTTCGCGATTTTCACTTCTTTTTGCTCTGTTTGTTAAGCATTAGCGAACGAGTAGAGGATGGAGGGGATGGTTACCCACTCCATCGACGATTTTTTAGGTCTCCTGCAAACAATTGAAGTCTGTGAGTGTTATTTTTTTGTTAAATTGATACAAAATGGGTGTGGTTCTCTATAGAGACTTGAACCTTTTCATCATTCTAAGGACCAAGAAATAACTGGGATTATACCCAGT